TGTCTCCATTCAATTCAAGGATTGGTAGCGCAGAGAAAATAAACAGTTTTATCCATCTATATTCTTTGCATATTTTATAACAACAAAAAAACTCGCCCGCATCTTGCCGTGTTACCTTGCCAGGTTACATTCTAGTCCCAATTCCAAATTCCAGTCAAACACTCTTTATTGAATGTGAGTGCATCCCTGTTCTGTATTTTGTTTTTACACTTCGTTGCTTATGGTGCATATAAGCACTCAGGCTCTAGAAACTTTTATTATAACCTATGATTGCGAGGTTAAATTTTGCATGCTAATTATTTCGTATAATCAATAAGGTTTCTAAATGTGAAATTAATAGCCCGTGATAATATATCCCAAAAGTGTGTGTTACAATATACTTAAGTAGTGTCACATTGTACGAAAAGGAGGTACTTTACATGGAATAACAGTTTCTGATTTCCTTGCAACACACAACAATTACAAACATGAGTTGTTTAATTAGTTCTTGCTGTTGCTTAGGTACGGTAACTAATGGGATATTCTATTATTTGTATCAATGATTACTTTTTTATCGTTACTCTTTTATTATTAGTCATTTAATTGTTTGCTAATTCATTTAAAAAGATTTGTGAAATATAAAATATCGTGGTAACATCAAATGAATAATAAAATTTTATTGTGGAAACCCGTCTGACCCTATTTTTTTGTCTATTATCTAACATTCACCCACGACACGTCGTATTACAATTATCCTATTGTACTTTCTAATTCTGTTTTCATTGATTGATTTTCAAACGACACACGGACATCGCAATAAATATAAAATTTTAATAACCAGTAATCTGGTTCATTATTTATTATGATGATTCTAATGATTAGGTCTTAAATTTTGCCATGAAACTTTCCGTGTATAAGTAACCTGTAACATTGCCTTTTTTACATTATATTAAGTATAACATATTCACTGTATGTGTAAACACTTCTTTGTCATAAGTTGCTTATGCACAGTAAAATACGATATTTTATTTAGTCCGAATATCAATTAATAACCAGTTCCTTGAATTATTATATACTAAAATGGATTTTGGAAATATCTGGGTACACAGGTCAGTAATTTGCAGTAATTATTCGCACTGTTACCATCTTATCAAAAATAGATTTTCTTTCAATTATGATCGTGTTTGGTAACCGTTTCCGTTACGTGTTGATCCTTCTATTTAGAAAATCTTCAAAGTATCGGAGATTCTAAATATCCTTTTTTGAATGTCATTGAATTTTGAAATTGATATGTATGCACCCATCGTGTTATGCATGTTTGCAAACCAAATGATGTGATTTGTATACATGTATCATTCTTAGAATTCCGAGAAATTTAATTATTGTTATCTACATATCGATATCATTAATTGTTTAATAAAAACACTGTCGATCCCTAAATTTAAGCACGTACATGTCTTTTCTTTTATGACTGAATTTCTGTAAACTGATAATGCGATATTGTTCTATTCTATTCTATAATCAAAAGATTTTTTTAATGGTTGTTTTCTGCGTGCTTATTAATTTCAAGTAAATAAGTAGAAAAACATTTTAATGGAACTGATATTTTAGAAGTAAATCATGTTATGATAAGCAGATATAGAGAATTTCATAATGTGATAATTTTCCAGTAACAAATTCCATAAAACAAATACTACCTTTCGGGAATATAAGAACCAAAATAGTACTAACGCTAACGCTAGTACGAAAGATATTCAATGAGTTTAACACTCAATATAGTATATTTGGCCATCACAAATATAAATTCAGAGGAATTCAATACCAATTAAAAATTATGACATTGAAAAAATAAATTCTATTATTCATTAAAAACTTTATGAACTACAATAATAAACTATGTTAAATTTCTATATCAATGCATCAATAAACGTGAGACTAATCTTCACTATGTGTATATAACATGATTGACTAAATTCCGCTGTCTATGGAAGATATTAAACACTAGATATGATCACACGCGTATGTGGTTTAAGAAAATCGTCTTTGATAATGTTGCCCGTCGAAACCCTTTTGACAATCGACTGATGAGTTTCGACTTTTGATAAACCTAGAAAAGAGTTTGGCCAGACAACTCTAGTTTTTGAACATTGTAAAAATTAAAATTCCATTAGTCGTACATAGATCGAATATTATAAAGAGGAAAAGGAATTTTAAAGATTTAAAGTGCATAATCATAACCAGTCAGGTCGGGAAATAAAAATCTGGTTCTTATAAAAATATGTTCCTATATCGAGTTATATTTGTACGCAATTTCTTGGGGATAAAATAATAAATCGAATTCTTAAGGTAATTTGTTCTTATTTGGTGTTATAGAAAGGTGTATATATTTTTTGAAAATTAAAAAATAGGCGATTTGTGCAAATAATGTATTGAAGTAGTGTGTGCGGATTTCGAATATGAAACATTATAATGATACCGATAAGATTAAAAGACGAAATGAAGTATAAAATATAAAATATAGCCAAACAGAACAGAACAGAAAAGAACAGAAGACAAACAATGAAAGTAGAGTTTATAAACTATAAGTTTCAAGTAATATGCTCGAAGTGTCATTTTGATATGGAATAATAGCCATATAGTCATTAAAACGACCTCCATTAATAATGGATTGCACCACGTTCACATGTACCGGTTGCAGTGGTTGCGGTTGTGGTGGTTGCAGTGGCTGCGGTGGCTGTTGTGGTTGTTGGTTCATTCTATCGTATGTGTATGTAAAAAACCGAATAAGAAATTAAGTATCAAAATTCTAATTTTGCGAATTTACAACTTATTAAATTGATATTTTTGTTATAAGTAAGTAAAGTTATAGATGAATAGGAAGTAAATAGTCGATTGCAAACTCTCACTCATTCACTCGCGCCCTCTTTTATATCTTTGCTGTCATAATATACATGTAGAATTTTTCAAAAAAACATATATTTATTGAATTTGAAATAAGGATATTAACAAAACACTCTCAAATAAACATAGCTGCATATGGCGTTGTTTAAAAGACCTGGGGTATTTTACAATCGACGGTTAAAGTTAATGAGAGAAGAAAAAAAATGGGGAGGGTACTTTACAAACCTTGAATAAAAGCATTAAGTCAGCCAATGGTATTTAGGATCGAAATACAGTCGACTATCTTTATAAAGTCCAATTAAATTCTCACTATAGTAATATCATAAATGTTCTCTAATTGAACGGACACTTATTTATATATAATATAGTTGACCATATTTTTCTTCGAGTTGACTATGTTCAGTTGCACCTCGTTAGAGTCACACTCTTTTCAATCCCAGCTATTACAAATTTGACCTCCATATAGTGACACTTTCTTATAGTCACCAGATTTCTGTTTTCCCAATCCTGTGATTATAGCGAGGTACGACTGTATTTTTAATTATATGTATATAAGTATATATATATTAGTATATTAATATAGATAAAACATATTATATGTATTTATTCAATTTAATGGGAGTTAACTATATATTTAATTAAAATAGATAAAATATGTTAACTTATATTATATTATATTTACTTAAAGGTACATAGTTAAATCAAAGAAAAATATGGTCGGTTTAACGAGAGTTGACTGTATAGTCGGTTCACAAATTTATTAACCACATTAGATTTTTAACTACATATGCTGTATACATGTACATAGATTCGGTACCGTTCTGGCCATCCATTTTTGGCGGCCATTCAAATGCTTTTTTCTTATTTTTTTTGTGTTCCGTCTCCACCCTTTATTGATTTAACATATCACTCGAGTGATCTTTTTGTGTTCCGATTCCATTATCATAGCATCAACAAAGATTGCACTGCGGCAATACAGGGACACTACCAAATATTAAAATCCGAGTCATTCTTTGGTAATACAATACATGTAATTGGAAAGTATATAATTTTCCGTTTACGGTAGGTAGACAATGAACACAAAGAAGAATAAATACCGACGGTGAAAAAAATAAAAAATCTTTTTTATTTTCAATCCTATTTAATTTCTCGTAACATTATCTTATCCACCGTAGTTGATAGATGAGTTGTTGATAGAAATATTCCTTAACTTCTCGTCATTGAGCTAGAATTGCAGTCAACCCACACGCAAAAGCATTATGGTTAATAACACACTACGGCAAAGCACACGCATTATTTCATGCGGTTAGATTGGGTCAAAACGTTAGCTCCAGACTTTGCTTTAATTTCTCATAACATCTTACCTAGATATTTTATACAATGCTTATTAATGAATTTTGGCAAATACGATGAAGAACCAATAAACTAAAAAAATTAAACATAACTCGGCTTCGAGCATTACAAAAAAGATAAAATGTCCGTGGGCGAGTCGAGGGATATCAGCGTTTTGGTGTATCGGACACGGCTTCTAAAGGAATGATCACTCCTTATCCGCAGGTCTTTATGTCATCAATCACGCGCCAGATAAATTGAGGCAAATAAAGAAAAGATCGAAGAAATATCACTTCTACCGAGGCCAAAAACAAAATCTAACGATCGAGTTGATAAACAAAGACAGCTCAATTCTGCCGTTCATGAAGAATATCCGCCAAAAGACAGTTTAATGTGATCGCGCGCGCAGTGCTCCTTTTGTTGGCATGTGGAAAGTGAGGGATAGATAACTCGAAATTTGTGAAGATGTGAATGAGGTTGTGATGCAGGGAACGCTCCTGACCTTGTTTTGAAAAACCAAATGCAATACCTCGAAATTTGTGAAGATGTGAATGAGATGGTGATACAATGAACGCTCCTGACCTTGTTTCCACCTAAGATTGGGAGAAACTAAATGCAGAAAATGAAGAAAGATTGAGAGAATTGGAAGAGCTTTTGGTTTCAAACTTTCAGATTTTTATACTTACCGATATTAGTAATCAATCAACGAGTTAATCCAGCTAAGTGATCAAACCAGAAAGAATCATGCCTTATTCGACTTTTATATAATTTGAAGCCACGAGAATTCAATGATCAACGAACAGGCATTTGAATGTCTTGAGATCAGCAGAGGAGTTTGTAATATCATCATCATTCCTCTCGAAGGTAATGGCGTACGTTAGATTGTGTACCGCTGGGCTCTTCAGAAATTTGATGCCGCTTCTTATCCTTGTTCTCAGAGCGCGGATCGTTATACGACCACCTAGGGATAGGAATCGATTCTCTAAAATCAATTTTGAGACTAGAATCGAGGAAACCGACTCCAAAAATCGATTAAAATTTGAAACCAAACCAAAATCCAGTTATGTATGGAATTATTTTAAACAAACAGCGCCTGATATTATTATTTGTCAAATAAAAAGATGTGGAAAAACACTTGTTTATAATAAAACCACTTCTACTATGAAACAAGCATTTATTTTATTACTGAAAGACAACAAAATCCTACTATTACCTTATCTATGACTCGGAAATTATTATCAGAAATTATAAATGATGCAACAAAAATACCCCATACAATATTTGGTAAAATTTATATTTGTGCAAATATAGTTATATTCAATTTTTTTACTTTATATATATATCTCTCTGAGAATCGATTAATCGAAACTGAGAATCGATTTTGAAATCGATTTTGAGTCGAGAATCGATTCCTATCCTTAGTCCGACCACCGAATTTAGGAATCAGAATTATGCATTTGAGTTTAGCAAAGACAGACGATAACGATAACGATAACGATAACAATGATTTGCTTCTGGATTTGCCAAAAATTTAGAGGTCAAAGAGTCAAGATAAAAGGTGAAAGATGTAAATCTTGAAAAAACAACGAAATTCTCTTTTCGTACTGGCGAAAAAACACGTCTAATTATTAGAGACATAAAATTGAATATGATATTGAAAGTTCAGAACGTTCAAATTACGAGATGATGCACGTTATTCATATTATAACGAACAAGAGGGACAAACCGATATCAAAAGTGTTCATGTTTCGATTAACTATCAAGTATTTTAAATTTCTTCGAAATTGGATATGATATTGAGGGTTCAGAAAAGTGCTTGGATAAAGTTCAAACATTCAAATTACGTAAGGATGTACGTTATTCATATCATAACGAACAAGAGGATGATGGAGAGGACAAACCGATGTCAAAGCATTCAAATTTGTTCAAACTTCTTCCATTAGTAAAATAAAAAATCTAGGTATTGGAAGGGTGCCAATTGAATTTTCTCATTCCAGATACATTTCGATAACATTTCGAGAGGAGAAAAAATTCATTTTTTTTGAATCGGTAACTTTGGGATGCGATATCTCGTGACCCAGTGGTTCAATCGGATAGAAATATCACCATTCCGATTTATCTAGTCGAGGCAAATCGAACAGTATATATATAGCATTTTTATTCGATTCGTTCACTGAGTCACATGATATCGCGTCCCAAAGTCACCAATTCAAAAAAATGACTTTTTTCTCTTCTCGAAATGTATTGTGAGAATCCCTGGAATGAGCCAGTTCAATTGGCCCGGATTTTTTATTTTTATTAGTGATGGGTTTCTGATTAAAATTTTTTCTGTAGTATTCTCTTACCTCAATATGGACAGACCAACTTGCAAATATTAAGTACATCATAACGATGTGCATACTACCAAACAAGTCAGCGAAGTTGGCTCTGCCAATACCCAACACATATAACGATAAAGCTAAACAAATCGCCAAAATTACCGAACACAATGCCAAGTATAGACTGTGTCTGCGAAGCAATTCGGCACAAATATGCCGGCGAACGCCGACATCTTCTACATGTGCCAACTTCGCTCAGAAATTTTTAATAACGCTTATTTGCTATGAGATACAAACTGTTATTCCTCACCTTAGAAATCACGCGTCTCATTTGGCGCAGTATCACGAATATTTCGGATAAATTTGAACCAATTGTCCTAACGTATTATGGAATATATCAAAAAGAAATTTCAGAAATCAGCATCGCCAAAGATTCGGCACTATGTGGCATGTATTTTTGCTTCAGAATTTTGCAATAGCTTCGGCATTAGCCGGCACATCAGTGACGAAACCGAAATCCTGGATATGGCTCCATTCAATAATTTTTCTTAGTGGGTTTTGGAGTGAGACTTTGGGTGGGAAAAATAAATGGCTATGTATGAGTGTGGGTAGTGATGCTACGCAGAGGATACAATGCACGAAGTGCACTTTCTACGAAAGATCCTCTAAATGGGTAGTTAGAGAAAAAAAATACTGTCTTTAGCAATTTCATATAGTAGTGATAAAACTTTTTTGCAAGTGAATGACAGAGGGACAGCTCCATTCAATAATTTTTCTTGGTGGGTTTTGGAGTGAGACTTTGGGTGGGAAAAATAAATGGCTATGTATGAGTGTGGGTAGTGATGCTACGCGGAGGATACAATGCACGAAGTGCACTTTCTACGAAAGATTCTCTAAATGGGTAGTTAGAGAAAAAAAATACTGTCTTTAGCAATATCATATAGTAGTGATAAAACTTTTTGCAAGTGAATAACAGAGAGACAAAGAATAGGAGCTGTTATTGCCTCTAGGGCAGGCTTTGGATCCAACATTTTCCATGCAACCCGCAATCATTACTTCATGTACAGACTGTGTCTGCAAAGCAATTCGAAAAAAATAAAGTTCACCTGGCATTGTCTTTTAATACATTTATTCGATTTTTTTCTTGGTAAAAGTGATCAGCATGAAGAATTTTCACGCACACATAATTTTTTAGCTATGTGTCCTCATATGTAGCCCAGTTCGCAATCAGAAAATAAATATATAAATGATAACCAGTTCTGTCGATGTTCTGCATTCATATAACTGAATTCCTCTGATTATTCACATCATAAATTTGTAAAATGCCCAGTATAAGAGTGAACATAAAAATTTAGATATAATGGGTGTTTGACATTTCTTATCATCCTCAGTACTGATTTGATGGCAGACAAGAATTGTGTATAATTTGATCCAGACGAATTTGATTGATATTATTACACGTTTTTCACTAATTGGATAATTAGCTAATAAACGTGAACAAGTGTTGGGAGAGATAATTAAATAAATATAAAAAGAATATGAAAATAATGTCTAAGTCTTATGCCAATTTCTACTGAAATTGTTATAGTTCAAGAAGAGAAAAGAATAAAGTAATAGTGTTTTAATTAGGTATAGTATTCTAAATAATCATACTAACTAATTAATTTATGAATTATTTAATTATTTCATATTTAATTAATTTTATTGTGTAATAGCAAAGAAGTACCAATAGTATTTTAGTATTTTAGCATGTGTTGACACCAAATTTAAATGTGCAACACTTGTCAAATTGGAGTAACATTGTGTATTACTTGTGATAAATGAGAATGTATTAAATTATAATTGGTTCTTTTTGAGTTAGAAATAGATATATAAGTAGCATGTATCTTAGCTTAGAATCATTATCGAATAATGAATTAAGATAATAAAAATTGGTTGT